GTAGGGCCTGAAGAAAATGAGCTCACACTGCTTAACCCTTTACACCCTAACATCAATATGCATATTCTCCATACTGTTCTCCACACATTTGCAAAGAGGCTGAAAAGGAGAATTTGCGTAATGATCAAGAGCTGCTTTAGTTGGTGATCATCTCCACTAATCTCATGACTTTCATGTTTGATTCAGGGGTGATATGGTAAGGAGAAGTTAGATGTTAGTCACTCTAAGGGCCGAAGGGTTGATATAGAAAGTTCTGTTTGTTTAAGAAAAAGAGAAAGACAAAACTATAAGGCCAGAAGAAAATGGGCTTACACTGCTTAATATATAACTGCTTGCTTGTTTGTTTAAGGTTCAATAACCACAATACTTCTTCATCAAGGAATAATTTTATAAATATTCACTTGAGAAAAATTTGACTTACCAAAGGTCTGACGAACTCAAAATTGTTCCAGGGGGAATCATCTGAAATAAAATGCCCTTCACCAGCCTGAAATATAACCCATTAAGAAAACAACAATGGTCTATCAAATATGAGAATAATGAAAGTCTATTTTAGGAAATTAATTGTATACAAAACATGCCACCAAAATTATCCTAAAACTTCTACTCTTGGTTCTTTGATATCAATAATTCTGTTGTTACATAATTTATGTCTTCCTTACTCACAGCTCTGGAGTCTGCCTCTATGAGAGGTTTTCCTGCCAAAATGTGAGCTTAAACCAAATTAATTAAATGAACAAAGTCAACAATAGAGTCACCTTGGCCATAAGTGAAGGCAGTAAGGCCTCTCTCAATATAAGACAGAGAACAGAGAAATACAAAAGATGTGAATCTCATCAGGGCTGAAGATCAGGCCCTTCTGCAAGTTTGACTGACGGCCCCCTTGGTGTCAGAGAATGAAAAGTTATAAGAATAAAGAAACAGTCAATTAAGGGATTATTAGCTGATCCAAAACCAAGTTCTTGAAGTGACATCATAGCAGTTGTAAGACAGACAGCAAAGACAATTACTCAATAGTGAGATCTTGGGATTAAAAAGAGTACAGACTTAAAGGAAACCTGTATAACAACAGCAACAAATGTGAACAAAAGATTTTATTTTGGGCAGATTAATAGATCTGCATAAATATCTGCATTCAAAACTATGTACACTTCCTAGCTGTTGTCTATAAGTAACAGAGTGGCATCAACAAATTTTGTGTTTTCTTGGAACCTCAATGGCAAATTTTTCACAATTTCATTGAAACTATGTTGCATTCACACACTCTGCTGCCATGCAACAAAGTCTGGCACTATTTAAGACAGTTAACACATCATGCAATTTACAAAATGATGGAGGTTCATTTAATTATTTAGCTATGTTTTCCTAAGCATCAACACTGTGACAACTCACACTCCCTTTCATGTTAAGGTTATTGTTGCAGATCGGTTAACGTTTTCTAGTATCACTCTCCCCACACAGGAAGAAGGTCCCTATTGATAAAATAGGTGAGATTACATTGCATGCCATTTTACCTTGGAGGTGGCAGTTCATTTCAGTTCATCTTATCTATACAACTTAGAAAATCTCCAGCACTATGGGCCACTTAAAGCTTTAGTTTGCAAAAATGTATCAGTAATTATATTCCAGAGCCAAGAAAAATGAAATAGAATTTTACATTAAGCTTACCACAATTCTGGGTAAATGTCTAAATTCTCCTTCTCCGTAGATTCCAGCTGGTCTTAAAGCACAGGTCTTGAGAATTTTCCCATCTGCCAATGATTTCCAGGAAATGAAATGAATTGCAAGTGGGTTTGCTATTTTTTTGATGAATTTTGGTATTTGCTGGACAACAAACCAATTTTATTTTGGTGTAAAAGACTAACAATCATGTTTCCTTCAGTTTAATTAATAAGAGGAAATATGTTAGTCAAATTTATTTTATGAACTAAAAGTGATGGATGTTTTTGAAATGATG